GCACAATGGAGGCAAACAATCGAGCGACTCCCATAACTATCGGGTCCTGGTGTAATACAAACCGGCCCAACATCATTTCTGTTGTCACTTACATGTGTGCAAACACAGGTAATGATTTTGTTTCTATTCATATCAAAAGGAACCATATAATTGATACAATATTTGCTTAATAGGCCCGTGAATTTCAGTTGTGATTTGCAGCTGGTATGTTGTTTCTTTTTTTCTTTTCATTGTGATGTGATCTATTTTGGTGTATCATTTGCATTTCTAGAAAAAGTAGCACCATATCGTTTTTACACCAAGACCATTTATTCTTTATAATTAAAATTAAAATTTTAAGAGATTGTCCTAAGATTTTTTTCCCTCAGCTCATATAAATAAAAGATGCTAGTTTTCCATATATTTGTTTAATCCAATTGAACGTTACACTAACATTAACAGATTTTTGTTATTTGAATTTGGGTGCCACTGATTTGTCATCAATCGTTGAAATGATCATACGATGCAAAAAAAAAGTGTACTTTGTTTGACTGGTAAACTCGGCTTCGTTATTGTTTTATATATGTGCATCCTTACATCGTATTTGTAGTGATTATTGATACATTTCTATCTGAATACGTATAGATGAAACTAAAATGTACATGTTATAAGATTCAAAATATTTGATTTTGAACAAATGAAAAAACAATTATCTATATATAATTTACTTCCTTTTCTTATCTGTAAACACGTAAATAAAACATCTCGTCAGTATAATTGCCTGTAACATTTAATTCTTGGAAGTGTTTTCTTCGTGAATTTATCTGAATGTTATTCTTCTTTGTAATAGTTTATCAACTTAGTCGATGGGTTTTGTCAGTTCACCACTTAGAAGGCCTTGATTGCCCTTTGGCAGCCCGATGTTTGCTGCCCCAATCACAAAATGTATTTATGTCTCGCTATTCTGTCCGTGACACCTTTAGATTGACCTATAACATTGACCTACACTTAAAACGTGGTCAGACTTATAGATGGTCAATCAGGGTCAGTGATATAACGGTTTCAGGAGGTTGCATTTTATTGTGTGCGAACACCGTTATTGTCATATGTGATATACCATAATATGTCGGATCTTAATGGGGTATGGTAGAAATAGATCTTCTACCTGTGACGCAAAAGTGATATATAGAGATCACTCCATCGGCGTCGTCGGCGTCGGCGTTCGTACAGTTGGTTTATGTACGATAATTCAAAGTTTTGTCTTCTCATGTCACATTGTATGCATGTCTATGCTTTAAGTTAACCGTTAATGTCCTGTCTGCCAGCCTGGACAGGTGACAAATCCATATCCGAGGAATTCTTTAAATATTGAAACATTTATGCTTCTGCTGAATATAACGAATATTCAGATTTTTATCCCAACTTACCAAAATATATACCATTTTACGTGCCGATGTGAATTAATACCACAAGAGTGAAACAGAAACATCTCAATCAGATTATGGCGTTCAATGGTTTGTGACCATGTACATGTAAACCTCCAAAGCATATGTTCAAAAGAAATGCCGTTACGAAATATAAGGCATATATTTTTACTGCTATTTATGGTACCATATGATGGTTTAGAGTTTCAACATTTAGGAAATTACTTTATACGAATTCCTGTATAAAACGATAAAAAGTAGTTTGTTTGAGTGGGGTTTGAAAGATTTCCATGCGAAATGTCTATAAACTATCCTACTATTTAAAGTAATACTTAGCGTATGGGGATGCGCTAACATATCCATAAAGTTAGCGCTGACATCATCATGAATAACCACACTGGGATTTTTTTTGATACGTATGTGTTCTGAAATCACACATTAGCAGACAGTGACCTAATAACAAAGGCTACATCTATTCCGTGACATACAATACTGTTTTTCATTGAAATACTGTTGACTTCTTCAGTAAGTGACAATACCCCAACTTGGTGGACGACACTGTTATGAAGTCAACGTCCTAAGTGTGCCTGACTAGGTCTCCAGTTTGAACAGTAGGTAATCGGTAATTTCTCGTTCGAAGATGTGAGATACAGAGCGGAGAGAGTAGCGTCCTAGTTCATTCGTTACGAGGGATATAAAGAGTAATTTCCATCCATTTAGGTGTTACTTGAAATGATCATCATTCTATGAACAATTAGGTTCTTTTCTCTGCCCTTATGTTTGACTTTTCGTGATTGTCTCTTAATACGCGTCGTCCTATGACCTACAGGCTGTTTTTATATTCAGAAGCTGACCTTTTCATTTTTACTCTTTAAAACCTTTTTTCCCCGAGTCCATTGCATTGCGATGCCATACAACTGCAAGAAAACTTACTAAACTTATTTGAGCAACAAGTTATATAAAACGAAAAGTATGTCTTTATAATAGACTGCTTATAGCATATACCTAATGTAACGACTTCCATGTAGAAAAATGACAAAGAAATACGTATTTGATGGTAAACATTTAATGGTAATAAACAGATATTGCAACAAATGACTCGAAGATTTAAACGATTTATAAAACATATAGTTCGACAGTTTGAAATGACAATAACTGTTGGTCAAAAATGCAACAATATATTGAAGATTGTTTTGCGAAAGGTTAACTGAACGGAAGAAGAATTACTGTGTTCATTTATGATGTCTTTGCAGTGCACACGAAGACTGGTGTCATGGACAAGCATGAAAATCAGACAGTATAATAGTAAAGAAAAGATAAGAGAAAGATTTAAAGCATTGCATTTAGGGTTATCAGATTCTGAATCGATTGTAAGATCATGAATCTTCAGAGGGTCACAATACATTCAAAAGCAGTCTTACAACTTTTTATATTTTTTTATATTTTTTCAAACAAAGGGCTCGCTCAAAACAATACTATTCTGGTCGGACTATGTTGCGCAACACACTATTCTAAAACTGGACAAAGTAGAAAACTTCATATCTCAATACAGGCAGGTAGATATCAAGTCTTGCAACACGTTGCTGTTTCACAGAATGAAATACTTATCCTTAAAGTTTTCCAGTAGCAAAGTACATTGTCAATGTATCTGTTTATTGGAATAAGGATATGAGGATTACAACTATTTACTTATGTTATTGAGCCTTTAATAGAAGGTATATAGACGCTGGTGAATTAGTTGTTTTATGTTTACCGACATGATAATTATAGCCAGCAGTCAGCAATGCGTGTAAGATAATTAATTAGTCAACTTCATTACAGCTTGCTGTAATTCCAGTGCAAATGCAATTGATTAATTCTATCTATTCCTTGCATGACAGGTTAAACGTCACACAGCAACATAAGTCACGAATAACGCACTTAACGTTAATCACATCCACAAAAACACAAGACAATACCTACTTTGCCTACAACATTGCCCATCCTTACCGTGACGTGTGGCATGTATTATTGACATGCACTTTTATCTCGAAAACATTTCTGTCAGATGATGTTCAATCAAGCAGCACCAGACACAATCACAGGCGCTCACGGACGTGACTGCCTCCTGAAATAAAGATACAATGACAACCCATGAACCGGTATTGATATTAAATATCACCAAAGATACGTTTTATCAATATTATCCTCTCCCGGTAGAGGGCGAATGAACAAAATGATTTGCTGATTTAAAATACCTGTCAAGTCGGCCAATGTTCGCTAGTTGACATATCGTGCTAGCAGCCCGTGGAGTGGCAGACGTTTTGCAAATGGGCGTTGATAAAGGGACATAATCACGTAATCAGTGACATAAAACAGATTATTCGTTAACCATGGTCGGCTATTTGGTTCGGATGAGGAACACATTTTTAATTTGTCAATACTCGCGATAGCTGTTGAAATCATTATTGCTGCATGGAATACCCGAAATGATTTTAGTGCGTGTGTCTCTGGCAAGGGCCTACGCCAAGCAGCGCTACTGTATTGTATTATCAATATGTCCCGGAATATGTCGCTAGACACGTCTTCAGATATAGTGTCATTCTCCTTTATAATGCTTTGTGGTGTACGTATTTTTTTTATTATTTCTACGAAGTGGAAAAATGCTACAACACAGAAACGTGTCCAATGATCCGATAAGTATATAAGAAAAGAAAAAGAAAAAAAAGATATCTTCCATTGTATCGTCCAAATAAAGGCGAAATCACGTGTAAATTAATCAAAGCTTTTCGACTGATGATAAGAGATGATAAGAGAAAAGCTGGACAATAAACGACGTTTGAAATTTGTTTTGAAAATGAAATGATATTATTACTACTTTACAGCAAAAAATATAGAAATACATACAAAACTGTAAATATAACTCAAAATGATAAAAATCTGGCAAACTATGAACAAAAGTAAGATATAACAAATATAAAGTTGATAATATACACGGAAAAATGTAGGTCAAATCAGAGTAAAAGTACTTCCTCAAAGTGAAACCAGTGTAGTGACAACAAATTAATAGGGTGTATTTAGAAAGATAATCGAAATCGTGAACATCTATATCATTCGAGAAAAGAGAATATAATTATGGTCATGAAACTTCGAAATAGTCACCGTCAATGGGTTATATCTTATGTGATGTATTTGCAATAAAGAATGTCTATATAATTATTCAAAGATTTTATTTAGGGTTCAGACACAAGTAAGCCTCGACGCTGGAAATTAAAAACAAAAAACTAAAAATATATGCATAAGCCACAAAGATCACGCTCGGTAGACATTGCTGCCTACTGGGTCTGATTCCGGGAGCAGGTGTTTGTAACAAGCAGTCGTGATCATCTGACGTATATGTATGCTGATTCGTCAATTCTCTGGATCTGTTGGTCTGCCTTTCTGACCAAACGACCATGTCATTAGCCGCACGTGGTAAAGCCTTCTTCAACTACATGTAATCTCTAAATTACTGCTCTCTACATCTTATACTAGCTTACAGTGTTCGTATCACATGTAAAACCCTATTTATGTTATATCAGCACACGTTTTATAAATATGTTTTTTCTGTATTTTCAGATGAACAAAGTATGATGGGCAAGAGGAACTACGGCTTCCATGCTCTCCGTGGACGTTAGACACTGCAATGCGCATGTTCGGAGATCACGTGTACATTTCAACTAACACAATAATCATCCGATTGATTGACTTTCTTTGTAAATTTTATATCTTATTATTTCTCGGTATTAATTTTATCCGCTGAATCTAATTGGGCGTAAATGATGGGTATCAAAGGCAGGAGGAGATCAATATAGCTACAGAACCTAGGTAGCTATAACGACAATGCTGATGTCACACTCATGCAGCAGTACAGGCATGCGCTCGAAATTAATCAATTCATGATAAAGGTGAAAATGACATGAACCATGTACGGATCTGGTACCTAAAAGAAGCATGACCTCAGAATGAAAATAGCTGTCTACTATGTGAATCGGAAACAACGTTACCATATTGCTTTTGTTTAAGATAGAAAATCTACCATGATATTAAAATATACTTTTCCATTATCTTTTGTTAGCGTTATTTGAGCGTTCGTTAAAAAAATCATTTCGTTTATGGTTATTGTTCTTCGTTCCATCTACTCAGTAAACTAATTAAAGCAACTTGTATTTAGAACATTCAAGTTTTCCTTTTGATTATATCAATGATGGTATCGCTTCATTACTGACCTTAACAGACCTCCTTACACCCACACTTTCCGTTATAATGTTTGCATTTTTCTATTATTAAACACCTTGCTTTTAGTGTCATCATTTGATGTTTGAAATTATGATATTAATCCTTGGTTAGCATTTGAGTAGCGCAAAATTTGCTATACAAAAACTAATGGACACAATCTGGTCCGAAGTATAATGTATCACTCTTACGCAATTTTAAATGGACATATACCGTGAACCTAAGTTATGAGGTGATTTGAATACTGTTTGTCTCATCATTATCAAAACTGTGTAAACAATAACGTGCAAAGAGGTAAGATGATTGAATACATTTTTTGTTTGTTGAAAGAGCATCAATTATGCATCAATTTGCATCTGTTATATCAGGGTTTTTTTTAGTGAATAAAAGAATGAATCATTTCTCATCCGCGAGGCTTTTTTCAACATTTGCAATGGATAAAGGTTTATTGCACAAACCATACACCTATGGTATTGAAGACAAACATGTATGCAACCTCAAAGCCTGGAATCCAACCTATATTAAACCTTATAATCAGTGATAGATGGAACCACGTGTGTTCGGTAAGATATCAATCTGCTGTCAGCTAACATTTCACTGATACATATTATAAACGTTGCAACACCCGTCAGTAGCGTCGCCATGTAATAGTTACTCTCCTATTTCATTGCAATCTTAGAGATTTATTTCAAAGTGAAAAAATACGTATATCTGTCTACGGTTGTAAATAAACATATATTTATTGAAATTTGAGAGTTTTAAAGTGAATTTATGAAGGACTGGAAATAAATATGAATATATATATGTATAACATGATTCTGGTTTCTTTAACCACGGTATAAAAGAGCAGCTTTGATATCTTTGAACTATTCAATTGAAAATGACCGAAATACTTTTGTACATTGTACATTGTACAAGCATCGGCGAAAAAAATATTCGAAAAAAACGAAAAAAAAAAAACAAATTTGCATAAATATAATCTCTGAAACATTTACCGACCACGTGCCTCTTAAATTAAGTTAGCGCTTATTTTAATAAATAAAACACATTTACCATTTCCTTCATAAAGTAGTCTTTCTTTTCTACATAGGTTAGTTTGAATGTCAGAAGAACTTTAGTGCACTGATGGTTTAAGATGGCTTTGGACGGCTTTGTAACAAATAAGATGGCACGTTTTCAAGTTATCAAGATTAATTTATTAAGTGAGGTGGGAGTGAAAAAAAAATACAGTCTGTCGTGCTAATCGAAGTGTAAATGTATTGGGATTTTTGGCCACTTTGGCTATTTCGATGATGACATTGTCAGGAATGACCGTATGAGAACGAGGAAACTTAACGGATTTAACGTACTCAGTATTAAAAGAAGATGTTTTCTCTGGATAACACTTACTATGTACTTGATTCAGTTTAAAATGATGTGTTAAACCCTTATCAACGTTACAATTACGGCCATTTCACTACAGTAATGAAATGTTTCATCAACTTTCAAATCATGGTTTAAAGACTATTAACGATATCCATTAAACTACATGCAATAAGGAGCGAAGGAAATGGTAACAAATTGGAGAAAAATACCACGGATAGATAAAACAATATTAGAACTTAAATCGGTACCAAAATGGCACCAGAAACCGAGGAAACATCAAACAAAAGGAAAGACAACATTAACGTGAACAACAACCTCAAAAACTAGGTCTGTCGAGATGTACACATGTTTGCATTTTGCATCCGTTACAACTCCAGGAAAGCGTTAGGTCATCAGCGCTTTAACAATGAACAAGTCCCCATCATGCTAGAAAGTGTATAGATTAACAGGACTTATCTTTTCACAAAAACTGATACAACTAAATACCGAATTTCTGCAGTTAAGGATTATACAAATAGGCTTTATGTACAGTGTGTCTTAATGACAATATAAGCAGAAGAGGAACAAGAAATATTTTAATTCCCAGGAATACATAAAATATCTGTTGAGGACCTTTGCGTTACTTAAAATTAGTAATTGCACCATATATTTCTATGAAAAGCTACGTTATGACGCAAAGGATTACAGATACACCAAAATCTCGATAATGGCTCTCAATAATATTGCTTATATACTCAGTAAATTTTCGATATAAAGACCATCATTTATGTTCCTTTTTTACTACAGTAAATCCGTGATAAAATGTCTCTCGTTAATAAAAAAAAAAAAAAAAAAAAAAAAAAAAAAAATTTTTTTTTTAAAAAAAAAAAAAAAAAAAAAAAAAAAAAAATCTTTGTTTATATAGAATTAAACATTGGTGTAATGTCCTTTCTATGTACCTATAGTCAAACCTAGATAACGTGCTTTTCGCTTATAAACAGTAAAATATATGCATACATGTAAACTTTCTGTCTTCATTCTTTGTATAGTTCTAACTGAAGAAATCACAAGATGTCAATAATTATATTGAAAAACATTTCTTTGCTTACTTTCTCGTAAAGCTATACAGTCTGTGAGACCATAATTGTTGAAACAACGAAGACATATCAACTTTAACAAATGGACGACAGGGAAAACATCACGCATGGAAAGAGTAGCAAGGAGGTTGGAAAGCAAATTACAACCGTATGCAGGGGAGCATAGTATGTAAACTATGTCAAGTCCAGCTGGAGACTTTTCTGTTATATGCTTTACAAGGGATAGCTTGGATTATTAAACAAGTGACGTAATGAATTTCCATGATAAACTATGTCTAATATCTCCTTAATAGATCCAATACATGATAACTAGGGGTTTTCATTTATACTTAAGTTATATACATTTCTGTATAAAACAAAATTGCTCGCAAGAATTACTGGCGATTTGAAACATAAATTGACATACAGGAAAATATCCTTCCTTTATATTCTTTTTCATTTGAATAAAAATCACAAGATGTCAATAATTATATTGAAAAACATTTCTTTGCTTACTTTCTCGTAAAGCTATACATTCGCTGATATCACTATATTTTAGCTGATAGTTCCAAATTTACCAGACGTCTAAAGGTTAGGTTTAACTTTATCAACTCATAGTACGTGAAGTTAGTTTTCTCGTTTTCCCTCTGTAAGCAATATCGCACGTTCCTATCAGAAATATAAATATTTCATATATTCTAAATGTTATATATATTATCATGCAATATTTTAATAGCTTCCATTATTGTTTTTGAGAAATAAGTCTAAGTAACTTGACATTCAAGGGAAGAAGGTTCAAATCAGAGCAGCACCGCTTTCATTACTCCAATTAAAAATCAAGTGTTTCCTACGCATTGTTAATTGTTGGAACAGTAGATCAAAAAAGCATTATCAAATGCAAGTACCTTGCAAATAGTAGATATTCATTCAATACGATGTATCTGGGATCGCTATGCATTCTCTTTCTTTTTAACTTTTCTTCAGTGGCACATTTTTACACCTACCGATAACACAATTATTGTGTACTCCCTTTTAATTACCACGCAATATATGTATCAATCGAGGTTGTCGTGATGGTTACATAAGTTAATCACCCAAGAGGGATTTTAGTTATGTACGTTTTCTCTCTCTAACAACTGTCGCTACGTACTTAGCTTATTAAGTCAATCCGTTCTGATCCATTATTTTTCATGATAGCATATCATAAAAGCGAAACATTGACAAAACGATCCTTTCAAAATCAATGTCTTTCGAGATTATGTCGTGTTCAACGTTTAACAACTTAAAACATACAGTCTGTTAGACCATAATTGTTGAAACAACGAAGACATATCAACTTTAACAAATGGACGACAGGGAAAACACCACTAATGGTACTCTTAGATGACCACCGCATGGAAAGGGTAGCAAGGAGGTTGGAAAGCAAATTACAACCGTATGCAGGGGAGCATAGTATGTAAACTATGTCAAGTCCAGCTGGAGACTTTTCTGTTATATGCTTTACAAGGGATAGCATGGATTATTAAACAAGTGACGTAATGAATTTCCATGATAAACTATGTCTAATATCTCCTTAATAGATCCAATACATGATAACTGGGGGGTTTCATTTATACTTAAGTTATATACATTTCTGTATCAAACAAAATTGCTCGCAAGAATTACTTGCGATTTGAAACATAAATTGACATACAGGAAAATATCCTTCCTTTATATCTTTCTTTTTTATTTGAAAAAAATACAAGAAAATGTATGCAACCTCACATTCCAGGAACATACATAATGTTGTCTTTAATGTTGTCACATTGTTTTCACGTCTTAATAGATCCTTAGGTTGCCTTGCCTTTTCCGTCTCTGGTGGCATTTTTCTACCATCGACTTTCAACTTTCGAGTTACGTATGTCGACATAATTTTAAAAAATGTTGACATAATCTGATAAGATGTCGACATTATATATGTATACGTCGCAAAAGCGTTTAATTATGTCGACATATTTTTACAATTTCCAAGATAATTTTGCCGAGATATTTATCACGTAAGTAGGTAACTCGGTCTTTTATTATGTTAATGCTCAGATGTGACATCGACTTGCCACTCATTTCTGCAAAGCAAAACGAGCAATTAACAAATCAATCTCCAGGAAAGCATCACGTGACTTATGTCGATAAAGCTAACTCGTAAGTCGAAAGTCGATGCCAGAAATATGCCACAATACTTCTGCTCCTTTCGTTGTCTTTCTGTTTGCTTTTGTGACATCACTGATATTCATATCAATGTCTTCCCTTTCGTTTTGGTATCTGCTCTATTTCTGTAGATATATTCACAGATGTTTTTTAATGTCACCTCTGATGTTTCCGTAGCGCAGTTGTTTTCCCTGTTGTTTTGGTAACTCCTCCGTTGGCGTAGATGT